ATAATATCCCTTAGATAATAAATCGTCTGTTTCTTGTAAAAAAAATCGCTTCCTTATATCTCAGCGAATATTACGAATTTACTAATACAGCGAATTATCTACGATAATTACGAAAATGTTTCTTACGGAGTGTTTGAAGTTAACACTCCGACTTTACAATTTAATTAGGACTTCTTGAAGAATATAGGACTATTTTTACATTTATAAAAAAGAGTTTCAGCGATTAGTTCTACTAATATTACTAATTAAAAAGCGAAGTGCTTTTCTTACTCGACATCAAGATCAAATGTTCCGGATAGAAAAATTTCTTTAATGAAAACAAATATATAAAAAGAAATCTTTTTTCTATCAGGAACTCTAATACTCAGTCAAAAGAAATCAGATAAGCTATTCAAAACTATTCAATTTTGATGTTGAGTATAAATTCATTTTCTGTTTTTATTTTTAATTTTAGTAATATTAATCGTTTTTATAAACATAAAATAACCCCTACATTCTTCGTAAAGAGGCTGGAATTTTAATCAGAGCTATTGAATTCTAAAGTTGGGTATGTTTACTTGATACATTCTTTTTTGTTTCATTTTCATCACGACGTAATATGTAACGTTTTTGTGGCTGGAAGAATACAATAAAGTGTTTTGAGGTGTTTACAGCTCCTGGACACCAGATTGTGCATGTAATTAGTGTTGCCTGGGCGTTCTTCAAGGTATCTATCTTGTCCAATTTTGTAGTCGAGTCGGTTTCGGTCATTTCGTCGTCGTGATTCTCGAAGAGAGGTTTCGTTGAAATATTCTAACATTGTTATTTTTCGTTTGCAGGGTTCGCGTATGGGCAATTGGTAGGCCTCGATTATTCACAAAAAATCGCAGCGATGGAAACGCCGGTGGAAACGCCATCGCCGCTGATGTGTCCACAGTGCGGACGAACGTATAAGATGAAACGCAGTCTGAAGACCCATATGAAATTTGAATGCGGCGGACAGAGAAACTTCAAATGTCACGTATGCCCAGCGAAATATACACAGAACATTAGTTTACGTCGCCACCTTTTACGGAGGCACGGCATCTATTTGCCACCGAAGTTCGTCATGCCCAGACGTCTCGTCCAATAAGTTTTAATATTTACAAGTACAATATCCTTCGAAATATGCTAAAACGTCTCTTATTAATGACGATGTCGCAACGGGTAAATCGTTGCGTCTGACGAATAAATAGATTTAGAGGAAAATAATTCATGCACGGTTTAATAGAAGATAACAAAAAGTGGAAAATATGTGAACTGATCTAAAAAAAATATATATATAAAGTCGATAACGTATTATTCCATTGGCCTTTCAAATATTTTGCTTTATATAATTGCGAATTCTTCTCTTCAAAGATATTTATGCCGATTCGTCGTATTCTGCGTGATGATCCTCTCAGCTTTAAGTATTACCAAAGCTTGTATTAAAATGCATATATTCGTTGTGTTAGTTAATAATTTACTTGATAATTTAATATTTTATGAAAGAAAGGTGAGTTTGAGAAATCGAGGACAAAATACGTTTCTCTTTTTCAATGTAGTCGAATACTGGTGCATTGCGAATTATCAAGTTGACAAATGTACTTTAGTTTAGTTTAGTTTAGTTTACTAACGGAAATGTTAAAAAGAATGATTGAGGAGAAATTATTAAAGAGAAAGTTAAACATTGTTAGGCTTTCTTCCTAGAGATTGTCTTCTTAGAGTTAAGAGATTTGTTAAATTAAGGAAACTCTCGCGACTCATGGAAAATATGATAAAAACCCACGACGAAAATAGAGCTGTTCCAGGAGGGTTTTCTTTCGGAACGAGATGTTCAATGTATGTCTAGTCCACAATAAACTTTAGGTGAACGATTGTTTATTCTCAGTTTTCCTTCCCTTCCCCTCCCCCCCCCCCCAANCGGATTCGTACAGGGAAATATTCCTGCGTTATCGGTGTTACTTCCAGAGACACCGGTTGTGTCGAGGCCGACACTAACCAATCATTCTTCTTTTGCAGAGCTTCACACGGTCGATCCGCATGGACTCAGACGCGGTTTGAAGAGCAGTCGGACCTTCAGCTGTCACCAGTGCGGCAGATTGTATCAGATGAGGCACAATCTGGTGAAACATTTGAGATTTGAATGCGGCGGCCAGAAGCATTTCGCGTGCTCCTTGTGCACCGCTAGATACACTCAGAACGGCAAGCTACGGCAGCACATGCTGAACGCTCACAACATATTCGTGCCGCCGCGAAAGGCCTGGAGGAGATCTTACATGTCGACTGGCGATTAACCATCGAGATTTAGCGATATTTTTAGCAACAAATGGGCACAAATCGTCCGATACCAAAAGAAAACCGCCATTCCGTTTGTTTGTTTCCCACCGAATCAAGAGAGTTGCGATAGTCATCATAATTGTGACGAGCTAATTGCATAACAAAGTGCCATTGAGTAAATTTGCTTACGAGTCCTTTCTCCTTTCTTTTTTGACTGATCGATAAGGCTACTGGCGTTTACGATACGATTAATAAACTGTTCATTTTTGTGATGATCGACGGCGACAATAGTGTGATTCTTTTTTTCGCAACCTTTCGATTTAAGTTGCTTTAATGTAAGTCAGACTCAATTTTACTTGTTAATTTAGAAATAAAAGTTGTATTTTTAGTTTTAGGAATATATTATATAGAAAATGTCATATATATATATATATAAAGTCCCCCGTTATCCCTGATATTTTCTCATTACTGTCAAGCGAGATGGCGTTGCGGATTTCGTCTTACATATTTTTCTGAAAATCCCTTTTTAACATTCTTTCAAACGTTTGTCAGGACATAGAGTGTAAGTAACGCGTACAGGGGACAGCTGAAATATATATTAAAGATGTTATCTTGTATTTTTGAAAGAATTCGACGTTAATTTTTTTTAAATAAGAACACCGCTCCAGATTTCTTCATGCGAGGCCGCAATGTTCTTGCGCAATCTCTCTCTCTCTCTCTCTCTCTCTCTCTCTCTCTTTTGTTACGAAAAAATGAGACATTTATTATTTTAAGAACACCGCGTTCTCGCTACTGTTTTATCGTTTCGAGGCAATTGATACAGGCTGAAGTTTAAAATGCATCGCATGCTTGTGTTGAATTTAACAAAAACGCGTAAGTATGATTTATTGCACGTAAGTAACACTCAGTAAGATCTTTTCCTTCGGGGCGGAATGTTCGCTCGCGAGGGCAGTGTACGATTTGTCATACGTAACTTGTCTCGGGATGTGTCGTTTCAACGGACTCCATAAGTTTCCACGTGTAAACGAGGGAAGATCGGTGTGCGATTCTTGTCTCGCCGGCCGTCCACTAATCGTCGCACGAACGTTTGCTTTATTTTTCAGGTTTTTACGAGAGCTTTCACCCGCCCCGAGAAGTGCGAACCTACAGTCGAAAAACGTCCGTCGCCCCCGCGAAGATCGCCATGAAGGTGAGAACGGCCGTGAAGTACGGGCCGGGCGGCACGGAAGACCAAAGTCTCCAGTGTTCCGCCTGCGGGAAGAAGTATTCGCTGAAGCACAACTTGGTAAGACACGTGCGCTTCGAGTGCGGCGGCCAGCGAAGATTTTCGTGCCACCTCTGCCCGAACAAGTATACGCAGAACGTCAGTCTTCACAGACACCTGATGCATCATCATAAAATCGACGTGCCAGTGAAGAGGAGATACAACGCCCCTAGGAAGATGTACGATCGAGTCGTTTACCAGTGAAAGCGATAAACGAGAGAGCTTCACCGGAAGACGATGTCGAGAACGAATTGTCGCGATGTCAACACACAAGAAGAAGAAGAAGAAGAGCTAGCGACGAGTACTAAAGATATTTTCCAAAGTACAGAAGCGACATCGTCGAGTCACGAAGATGGGCTTGGCTTTAATCGCGCGATAAAAGCGACGCGAAGAACGTGGCACTGCTAGTTTTAGTGGTAGCTTGATAAAATTTATAATAAATGGCACATTGGTCTTCTAATCGCGGCAAAGATACGCTTTGTATGAAGACACTTACCTTTAAGATTATAATCGTAATTCGATCTGGCCAAAATTATTGGTTATATATAATAATGATATATTTCACAATGTCTCTTTATATCTCTCTCTCTCTCTTTCTCTCTCTCTCTCTCTCTCCCCCCCCCCCCCNTCTCATATCGCATGTTTTAAAGTTAGAGCTGGAGTCGTTGATGTTTGCGCCGTGGGAGATGTGACTTCTCCTCGAAGGATTTATCGATGGCAGATGCTCACAGAGCGAAAAGACGATGAATCGCATTGTTTTCTACGAATTTACGTCGAGCCGTTGATTCGCGCGTAGGAGAAACGAGAGAGAGAGAACACAGATCGGCGGTTGATTGCCGGCCTGGAGTATTTATCGTCGATAAAATATCCTTACTGCAAGTCCTCACGCAACGACATCGAGTAAGTCCTCTGAGCGTTAAAATGCTGTGAGTGCGTCGATTAGATGTTATTACGTTGATGTTGATGTTGATCGTTGATTTTATTATATATATACATACATATATATATATATATATATATATATATATATATATGTATATTATTAGTTTATTTGATTAAATTCAAGTTCGCCACTTTCAAACGTTGCTTATACAAGACGTTCCACCAAGAGACACGGTTTCATCATTAACACCATGTCATCTCTCTCTCTCTCTCTCTCTTTCTCTCTCTCTCTCTCTCTCTCTCGCATTTACACCAGAACGCTAAAAACGCTAAGATTCACACTTTGAAAATGGCTCGTCTCGATGTGGCCGCGCGCGTGTGAACATACCCTCAGAGTAACGTTCTCTTTTCGGCAGGTATCTTGAGGTCCCGCTTCACCTGCCAGCAGTGCGGGCGCAGCTACACGATGCTCTGCAATCTACGCAGACACATGAAGTGGGAGTGCGGCGGGAAACGGGAGTTCTCGTGCAACCACTGCAACTACAGTTTCACCCAGAAAACGAGCTTGCAACGGCACCTCTCGGCGGTCCATAAGATCGTCGTCGTCAATGGGATGGAAAATAGCTTTATCTTGTAGACCGCTTATCGCTATATTCACCTCGGGTCCTTTGATCGTGATCCCCCATGAAACCACGAAGACGTGCGAACGACCCCGTCCCAGCCAACTCATTTCATTCCTCCTCGCTCCGGCGGACATCGACTATTGAAGGCAAATCGAGTGCGCTTCAAGTACGTCATCAAATTACTCGATCTATCGAACTGGACGCGTATGTGAAACCATACCTGCGGACCTGCGCGATCCCGTGGATTTGCTCTCTTCCCGTCCGCATGCTCCTCCACGTCCTTTGATCTTCTAGTCATCCGAAACGTGATCGGGCCGACGGGGATGAGAGGTCTCGATCGTCTAGATTCGCGTCTGACGATCCCACTCAGCGATCGTACGACGAAGTGAGCTCGCGACTAACACGACTGTCCTTTTCGTATTCTTCCAGGTATGATTTGGACGACCGGTCAGTTGGGTCCGCCTCGGAAGTCACGACACGCGAGCTACCTGAAGGACGAGGATCTTACTCTCAAGTGTCCACAATGCGGCCGGGGTTACAAGGTGAAGCCCAGCTTGTCGAAACACCTGAGATACGAGTGCGGCGGTCGCCGGAATTTTTGCTGCGACCTATGCGGCCGCAGCTTTACGCAGAACGTCAGTCTACGCCGTCACCTGATGCAAAACCACAACTTCTACCAGCCGCCGAAGAAGCAGTGTGTCCGGAAGATTATCAATTGAAGAGAGCTCCGATATATTCATGTGTCAACGAACGCGTCGTACCGAAGAGCTCCGTCCACGACCAGCCGCAACGCACCGTTCTCTCTCTCTCTCTCTCTCTCTCTCTGTCGGATGAAGGCGCCTCGAGAGCAAGAATCTTGTGACCAGTGACTTCGTGAAGAATACACTCACCGAACTGTAGATGACTGTATAAGTTCGCGTCTTCCCACGAAGATTATTCCGTAGGTTATATCGTTGAAGACGCAACGCTCTTAGAAGATTAAGTAAAAGCCCTAACCACCTAACTACTCAGCGACCCGACGCATACAACACCAGAAGATTATCACCCGAAGATGAGCTATCCCATGATTGTAATAGCATTACCGTACATGTCCGCGCGGTTCCGGCTCCTACAGACCGGGCCGTAGATGTTAATAAAGTTTGTAGGCGCTGTTTAACACTCCGTGCCTATCCGAGTATACAGACCGAGTATACAATATACAGATATACCAGTAGAATATAGACAAACCACGTGTTATCTATAGAAGAAAGAGAAAATGCAACAATAAAACTCTACATAATCAGTCACAATGAGACAACGTGGTCGTTCGTTGCATCCACAATGCCCGACAATCTTCGTCGTCGTATTATCGACGCGCTCCCCGAACACGGGTGAGCGCTATGCCGTCTTCCACATTGAAGAATAATTTTTTTAATGAGTGTACCGATCCTTTTGTAACGTTTAATCGAACGTAATTACTCGAGTCTGTAAATAGCTTCGGAAACTCGAGCAGTATTTTTTTATGCATTTAAAGTCTTTATTCCTGTCGCGGCATGTACGAATTTCCTAAATTTCTCTATCTCGGCGCCGTCCGATGCCGGGAACTGTACATTCTTCGTATCGCTACTACGTGTACGTATGTATTTAACAATTTTTTATTGAAACATACCCTGTGCTACCCCTTCGTAACCTTCCCTCTAGCCCTCTCTCTTCTTTGTGCTGAACGATCACCCTCCGCGATCTCATTAGCGAATAAGGTTGAAAGGTCTCGGGAGTTCTCTCAGGATAGAGATGCGTTAAATCTGTGTCTCTGCTATTTTCGTTTTTCATGAAACTTCTCATTAGTCATTAATATTCCATGCATTCGATCGTTTCCGTTTGAAAACCGTTTACGTGCTATCATTCCTTCTATCTTTCTCTCTTTTATTATAATACAGGGTATCCCAAATTAATCTTGGTTCTCGCGACGTGTAGAACAAGTGAAACTGACCAGAAAAGTCATGTACCATTTTCCAAAATTCGCAATAGTTAGTGAGAAATTAATTATTTTGTCTGAACTAATGAGCGTACGGGATGAAGTTGGCTAGACTCTATAAAGAAAAATGGCTTACTTCTGAAGATCACCCAGTAACGATAAGTATCAACTGATAGCGAGAGGCGTGTTTCTTTTCGGCGCATAGCCCTATGTCGCATGCCGCTCGCTGTTTGTTGCTACTCTGTCTTCAGAAATCAGTTGATGCTCATCGTTGCTAGGAAATCTTCAGAATTAAACTATTTTTCTTTATATAATGTCTGGTCTATTCTTTCCCATGCGTTCATTAGCTCAGACAAAATGATTAATTCCTCACTAACTATTGCGAATTTTGCAAAATAGTACATGACTTTCCTGCTCACTTTCTATTTGAACACTACAGGAGCCGAGATTAGTTTGGGATATCCTGTATATTATAAAGGATGTTCTATTTTACTTTCCTCAGACAAATTACTTGAAACAACGTATTTTAGAAAAAAAATTATAAATACAAGAATGGCAGAATTTCATAGTGGAAATAATATAGTGTTATGTTATTGGAATCATATATAATATATAATTTTTTTAAACATATATCAATTCCCCTAATCATTTTATGTATACAAGTATTAGGATAATATCATTGAAAAATGAATATTTTGAAAATTCCAAGATATTTTACATTTTATTCTGATACTTTTTCGATATAAGATATGAAATATCTCGCAAAGTATTCTTCGATTATCTGCTTCTAATATTTTTATACATAGAATAACTAGAAGAATTTATTTATGTTAAAAAATGTATTCTATTTAAAAAATTCAAGATGACCTTGATGTGATTTGACACATTCATACAAGGTCAATATGTTAATACTATATTCTTTATTCTTTTATTATCTTGAAATCCTGCAACTCTTGTGTTTATTACTTTTTTTCTAAAATATTTTGCTTTCGAGTGATTCTACTGGATAAAGTAAAATGGGGGGAGAGGGCCTTTTTATATCTTCTATAATTCTTCTAATTTTCCAGTGTTGTTCCAGTTGCTTCTTTCAAATTAGCGAATAATCGACGATTCTTTTTGAGATCGTTCAGTTTAATCTATTCAAATGCCTTTAAATTTAACGCGCTAAAATGTATTTTCCGCAATAAAGTAACAATTGTTCATTGAGATACTGCCGGATCTTTCGAATTCACGATTTTTTTCTAGCTTTTCTCTTTGTACTTCATGTCTTATTCATTTTTTCTCTCTGTTTCTCTCTCTCTCTCTCTCTCTCTCTCTCTCTCTCTCTCTCTCTCTCTCTCTCTTTTGCCTGTTTATCAAATATTTCTTTACCAAAAATAAAGAGCTATGATATCTTTTCTTCCCGCTACTTGTGTTTCTCCGCTTTCGAAACCCGATCCCATCACTACCTCCCTTAATATCGTTATTTTAATTTTTTTCAGACAACAGCTGCAAATTTCGAGTGTTTCTAAAACCGCCGCCGCCACCACCATCACCACCACCACCGCCGCCGTCGGTGCCGCTGCCGCCCGTTGCCATCGACCTCAGCTCGAGCCCGGGTCCGGTTCATTTCGAGACCACCGCCGTGCCGCCGTGTACCTTTGCGGTGCCTCGACCAATATCCATGAGTTCGCATAGTTCGTCCAATTGGAAGCCGCACACGGACAAGCCATACAGATGCTCTAAGTGCGGCAAAGGCCTGTCCCATATGTTCACCCTGAATCGCCATCGTAGGACCGTCTGCGGCAAGGTGCGCAACAGCAACGGCAAGTGGAAGTGCGAGCACTGCACCAGAACGTACAAGACCGAGGGCAACCTTGCGCGTCACATTAGATACGAATGCGACGTGCCGCGGCAGTTCCATTGCATCTTCTGCAACCGCGCCTTCACCCAACGTTGCAGCCTGAGCAGGCACCTGAAAAAGTTTCACAATCAAAGCGCCGACGGCGTGATGATGCAGAGGGACCAGGCTTTCGAGCAGTCAGGCAACGTCGATTCCGACTCTGCTTATTGCTCGTCGGAATCGGTCTGCTTATCCATCTAAATTCGATCGCGACACGGCAATTTGCGCGCAGTAATTTGCTGCAGCACACACAGCAGAGATGCTTTTTTTTGCTCTCCGTGTGATAAGCAATGAGCGCGTGCGCAACAAACAACGCGTTGATCTTTACCGATTTGTGGAACCTGGCTGAAGTGTATGAGCAAACGCGACCATCATGAGAACGCGATGTGTTCCTTCTTCGGAATGGCTTTATGGAAGTACCGAGACGGTACTAGCAACGGTACTTGTTGCTGGTGTTGTTGTTCGACGAAGATGTCGATTTTACAATCGCACCGTCGCACAATGGAAAACTTCTAAAATTCGAAATAAAGAGAATTAAATATATCTTCTAGAGCGCGAGCGTAGCGTAACAGACTGGTTTGTTATACTAAAGTTCCCGGGTGCGTTTCTCGGCAGAACCAAAATATTTTCATATGCTCGTGTCTCCTTTCCGATGGGCTTGGCGATCCATCGAAAGTATCTCTGCCAAAAATCTCACGCAAATTGCCGTTCGGAGCGGCGTTAAAACTGTGTAGGTCCCATATAGTTGCGTATAATCTGCGTACGCATTACAATGATATGCGTGTGAGAACCGGACAATGTCGAAAGATGTTATAAAATCGATATATATATATATATATATATATATATATATATATATCTTATATATATATCTATCTCACTTCGGATAGAATATATATC